TATGATTTATTTTCTTTAAAGTTATTTTAATTTCACTACTTAAGTGATAATTTTATCAGGTTAACCCAAGTATATACCTAAATTATTTTTCTAGTCTTTAATTTATTTTTTAAACATTGGATTGATTAAAAATTATATTTTATAATTTATTTTAATTTACTTTATGTATAATTATTTTAACTTCATGACTTAAATGATTCATTTATTTATTAACCTGAGTTAACTAATTTTGTTAGTTTACTTTATATGAGTTTATCTTGTTTTCATAACTTAGTTTTGGCATGTTACTCAGATTGTTTTTTTATTTGTTTTATATGAAGTTATTATGGTCTCATGATTCAGATTGTAGATTTAACATATTAATTTAGGTTAATATAGTTTATTTTTTTGCATCTTTTTAATTGATTTTTTCCAACTTCATCATTTTAACATAGAGTTGATTAAGAATTAGATCTTATAATCTGTTTTGATTTACTTTTTATAGGGTTATCCGGATTTCATGACTTGAGTCATGAGTTTGACAGATTAACTTAAGTAGTTTTTCTAGATTCTTTTTTTAATTGATTTTTTAACATTGAATTGATTGAGAATTATATTTTATAAGTCTGATTTTTTCCATGAAGTTATTATAGTCTCATGACCATAGCTACAAATTTGTCAGTTTAACCCGAGTAACCTTGGCCGGTTCAATATATTTTCATCTTGATATTTTTAAAAAAACTATAATCTTAATTTTTTTTAATGAATTTTTTTTTTAATCATTCATCTAGATTGTTTTTGAATCTATTAACCTCTACATTATTAAAGTTTTTTTCTACTAAAAAATGCATGATTTTTTTTTTCATTTTAAAAAACTTGAACTGAAAATAAACATAAGAACAGTCAATTAACTAGTGTACAACTAAGATCATTTTGTATTTTGGCAAATCCTGGTTTGCCAAAGACATTTTAACATGCTTCCCGTAATTGGATTCCATATACTTAAATTACGACGTAATTTGAGCAGCAGAACAAAAGCATCATCTCAAGGCATAAAGTTTTGGATTTCAAGTTCCATGGAATCCTAAAGTTTAAGAACGAAGATTGAATCTTTGAATTTGGGGTGAAATCTAACCTTTTAACCCATTTTATTACATGCATATTCCTTAATCAATGTTAAATTTGGCTGATAGAACTCGAAGTTAATTTTGTCCGGTAATCAAATTTAATCAAAACTCTTGCCAAACAACACACATACAGAGTTTGGTAAGTTTGAATTCTTCACAAAAAGTGGGCCAAATGTCCCATTTGCCACCAGACCGCACCTTGGGTCAATTCTTGATGATTAAATTGATGAAAAACATTTACCTACACACTAAATGCATGAAATTCATTAATTAAAGACTAGATGGTTCTTTTCATGAGTAATTGTATGACCCTAGCATCACGAGATCTTGGAAGCGCAGCCCGAACTTAACTTACGAAGGCTTGGACCAACACGAAATCTATGCTGGGTCATGTTGACTCCTAAACTCAATAATTAGAGAGTGAATTTATATAAGTTTTAAATTTAAAAAATTATATAAATTATATATTAATATTTTACTTAATAATTTAAGCTACTGAGTTACTGTAATAAAATGAATTTATGAGCTTGATTATAAGATTCTTAGACGGAAGGTAGAGATTCAGAACAGTCTGAAAGGGAAGGTACGCAGCTTCTTGTATCTCGAAAACCCAATAGCATTTCATCTGTGTGTGGCCTTAAAAGTTCAAAACATCAAGGTTTCCTTAGACGAGCTTAGAAAAGATGCAATTGGGTATGGCTTGGAGTTCTATATACAACCCCTCAACCTAGCCTGCACCCAAAGACAGACTCTTTCCATGGCAGCTCAGAAGTTGTCATAGGAAGGGGTGATGATGTCTCTAAAATTATGAACTTGTTGGTTAGCTCTTGCAGGCAAGAAGTTCTTTCTGTCATTCCTATAGTGGGAATGGCCGGGCTCTGAAAGACCACCCTAGCCAAAATGGTGCTCAAAGAAGTAAAAGATAGAAAACTTTTTGATGTGATATTTTGGATCTGTGTTTCTGATAGTTTTGATGATGAAAGGATTTTAGGAGAAATGTTGCAAACTATTGATAAAAACACTGGTGGGATAAGTAATATAAATACAATAATGACAAATCTTGAAAGACAGTTGCAGGATAAAAAATTTCTTCTCGTACTTGATGATGTGTGGAATGAAGAACATGGGAAGTGGGAGCGTTCAAGGGATCGTCTGTTAAAAGTTGTTGGGATTAATCATGGTAATGCTGTTGTTGTGACGACTCGTCTTCCATTAGTAGCATCCATAATGGAGAATCCTCCTGTGTTTAGGCATGAACTGAAACAACTGTGTCAAATGATGAATGATGGTCAATTATTAGGAAAATAGTGTCTAGAAATGGAGGAGAGTCGATTCCTTCAGAATTGGAGGCTGTCGGAATCGATATTGCAAAAAAGTTATTATAGGGGGGATGTTGCTTTCTGAGAAGAAGGAAAAATGGCTGTCCATAAAAAACAATGAAGCTGTTGAGAAGTTTAAGTAAGAAACTTCTACCAATGTTGAAATTTTGTTTATTGCTCTATTTTCCCGAAAGATTTTGAGATTGGAAAGGAGAAATTGATTCAGCTTTGGATGGCTGAAGGGTTCCTTGGGCCATCTCACGGAGAGATGGAAGATATAGGTGCTAGAAATCTTAATGACTTGCTTGCACCCTCGTTTTTCCAAGATTTCCAAACGGATGAGCTTGGAAACGTAATCTATTGCAAGATGCACGAACTTGTGCATGATCTTGCTTAGTTGGTGACAAAATCAGAGACAGTGATTTGGGAGGCTGGTTCATCTATAGACGGTACATTTCGTGCCCGACATCTAAATCTCCTTTCTTATGACAGAGATGAACCAGCATTTCTAAAGGATGGTGCTAGAAAATCGCGTACATTATTCTCAAGATTCTTCAGCAAGTCTTGGGAATTTAGAGGTTTGCGAAGTCTGACCTTGAATGTTGCTTATATGACAGAGCTGCCAGATTCAATTTGCAGGCTGAAACATTTGAGGTATCTGGATGTTTCACAAACAAATATCAAAGCATTCCCGAAATCCATCACGAAGCTCTATCATTTGCAAACCTTAAGATTCCGTAGATGTTGGTTACTCGAAAAGCTTCCCAACAAAATGGAGTACTTGGTGACCTTGAGACATATTGACCTTAGTCATACGCCAGCTGATGTTGGATGCTTAGCTGGTCTTAGAACACTGCCATTCTTTGAAGTGGGTCAAGATAAGGGCCACAATATTAAAGAGCTGGGATGCTTGAAGGAACTAGGAGGGGAGTTGAGAATAGTCAATCAGGAGCATGTCAGAGACAAAAAAGAAGCCAAGGGAGCATGCCTGTTTGGAAAAGCAAAGAGTAACACATTGTTATTGATATGGAGTTCAGAAAGAAGAAGCAGCAGCTCCAGCATCAATTACAGGGATGTGATGGAAGGCCTCCAGCCTCACCCAGACATACGAAGCTTAGAGATTGAGAATTATCAGGGTGATGAATTCCCACCATGGCTTTTGTTTGGCGTCTATTATTCTAAAATTGCATTCTCTTAAAAGTGTATTCATTGATCGGTGTGGAAAAGCAACTGTTCGAGTTAGCTGGCCTCTATCCCGTGCAAATGTGAAGGATTTGAAAGTCAAGGACTGCAGGGAGCCTATCTTCTTTTATGACGATGACGATTTACATGGAGAAGAATTGTGGCCTTCTCGTCTTCAGTCACTAGTCATTAGCTTTTGTAATTACTTCAACTCAGTTCCTAATGGTTTAAATAGAAGATTGCATTCTCTTATTCAGTTAGAAATCAGCTTCTGTCAGAATTTAAGTCATATCCCGGAAGATTTCTTTTGCGGTCTCAACCAACTGAAGGCATTGAAAACTGGCAGTTTCTCAGAGGAGCTGGAGGCATTTCCTGGAATGAATTCAATCCACCACTTGGGTGGTTCCCTTGAAAAACTAAAGATATTTGGATGGAAGAACCTAAAGAGTCTACCACGTCAACTTCAACACCTCACCTCCCTTGTGAAATTAAAGATCTTTTATTTTGACGGAGAGGAATTTGAAGAAGCATTGCCAGACTGGTCGGCCAACCTTTCTTCTCTTCAAGAGCTTACAATTTGCTATTGTAAGAATCTCAAGTATCTGCCAAGCTCAACAGCCATGCGATGCTTCTCCAAATTAACACGTCTGCAAATTTGGGGGAGTCTGCTTCTTCAGCAAAATTGCTTCAAGGGCAGTGGGTCTGAGTGGCACAAGATTTATCATATCCCATATATCAATATAGTAAGTTTGAATCTCTCAAATCTGTCTACTTTCAATTATATTTATTTTTATATTAAATTTAATTGTCACAATAATTTTTTTCTTTCTTTTCCATTGCTTTAATTAATTTAACTGCTTGCACAACATATTTTCTTTTTAGGAAAATAAATAGCAACTCCGCCAACTTGAATAAATAGCAAGGGAGGGAGCACAATCTTACTATCAATTTCCTCAGGTGGGTTCTTCTCTTAAACCTTTTTGGGTTTATATGAACTGTCCCATCATTTTTTTTCCTAATTTTTTGTTTCATATTTTCTGTTTATCTGATTTTTTTTCCCTTGAGTTTTTGTATAAGCCCTTTTTCTATGCAAAGCTGATGATAACTGATTCCTATCTTTAAATGTGTACTTATGAGCTACAACTCAGCTGGATTTTCCGCTGGCTTAATCTTTAGCAGAACTGGCAGATGAAGATCCGGACAAAAAGAGAAAAGGCCTCCGTGCTGCGCAGCCAGCCTCTCGCTATGACTTCTGACAGGTATTTGGTTGTTTGCATATTTCTTTGAAAACCCACTCTATGATATTGTATGTGATTATATTTCAAGGAGAAACATACTTTCTTTTTCAGCCAACCAAACAAGAGTGGTTCATTTCACTAACAATTGCAAAAGCATGATACACCTTTTCATTCCAAGTCCTGGTGGGAATAGCAATCGTCAATCGATCAAGAAAACTGTCAGTACACCTCCCTTCAACGCGTGCTTCTCTCCGGAATTTTAAAGAAACATCTCAGCCCCACATTCCACAAGGGTTTAATCATCTTCAGGTATTTGATAGGTGTCATGCGTTTGAAGATATGGATAATTTTTCTCTGTGAATTCCATTGATAATATAACTCTCGGCCATTTCTTTCAACCACAGAATAGTTCGGCAGGTGCGGGTAGAGCAACTAATGGAAGATGGTCTTTGGATTGAGGTAAGCATATAACCAGAAATTGACCATGTCTTGAAATCCTTTCAACTTCATTTTATACCTTGGTTTAATAAATCTTTGTCAACATAACAATATAAAAAGTAACAGTGTAGTTCGTTAAAAAAATGATATTTTCAGTAAAATGAACCAATGATTTCTAACAAGGACTGCTAATGGGGGCCATTTTAATATAATTACATGTAAATTAAATCTATGATTGCGTCGTGAGATTAGGAAAATGCAAGATGATTTCAGATACACAGCTATGATCTTGTCAACAGAACTCTCTTATTTGATGAGCTTGAATTTAAAAATTCCGTTGGAGGGATGTTCGTCCTTCCAAGTATCTGGATCTTTGTGAACCACATCCAGTGAGCTTGTCTTGAATATGTAGTTTGGGTGGGTAAATGGGTCGTTGAGCGGTCTCAGGAGTTTGGCTCTGTTAGGATATTTGTTTTGCAGACTCATTTAACAGGTAAGATCAAAATAATAGTGAAATTATCTGTTGACTGTTTCCCTTCTCTATGGCAGCGATGGAAATCAACAAAATGACCATTACCTAAAATTTCCTTGATGGATGACAAAGGAATCATTGTGTTCCGACCCCGCCATTTCTGATCTTAGAAATGCACGTTTTCTATGTTGTACGTTTTTAAGATATTATCCAAGCACTGAACAGAAGTGTTATGTGTGTGTCTTCGTGTTATTCAGAAGGGAGGTTTTCAGATGCTTTGAGAAACTTGGATCACCCGTTTCACTCTCCATTAGATGCTAGAGGCCAAGAAGTTCTGTAATCAGTGCTTAAGTGATCGAAACAAGATGAGAGATTTGGAATCGGTTTCAGTGAGGTGTGTTTATTAAATTTCCAGCTCTTTAACATGTTTATTGATTGAAAGGAGAAAAATTGTTTTAGATTAGTTTAACAACAATGTAATGTGATTCATGCATCTTCTTCCCATTCTCTGCTTTCTAAATGCGATCCGTTCCTATTCCACTTGCTGATTGCATGGTGTCATGTTGGTTGCCGGTATTTCATTACTGCGTATAGTTCCAAAGCTTTTATATCATTTTCATAAGCTGAGGGGTTTTTCTAATCATATTTCATTCCTGCGTATAGTTCCAAAGCTTTTATATCATTTTCATAAGCTGAGGGGTTTTTCTAATCATATTTCATTCCTGCGTATAGTTCCAAAGCTTTTATTTTTTCAATTACAGGTTATGGATCATTTTCATAAGCTGAGGGGTTTTTCTAATCATATTTCATTACTGCGTATAGTTCCAAAGCTTTTATTTTTTCAATTACAGGTTATGGATCATTTTCATAAGCTGAGGGGTTTTTCTAATCATATTTCATTACTGCGTATAGTTCCAAAGCTTTTATTTTTTCAATTACAGGTTATGGATCATTTTCATAAGCTGAGGGGTTTTTCTAATCAGACATACAGGCTTGCTTTTCGGCTTTCCATGCGTAAGGAGTTCCAAAATTTCTCTTCGGAAGATGCATATGCTAACTATGGCATTCAACCCTTAGATGCCTGGTACAGATTTCAAAATATTTCAATATCTTTCTCACCAGAGTTTCTTACCTTCTGTTTCATTTCTAAAATTTGCAAGCTTGCTCGATCTTCAATAGACATGGTAGATGGAGATTCAGTGCAGACTCTGTAACAAAGATAAGGTCTCAGTATTATCAGTACAAGCTCTGCTCATTGAATATCTTCAAAAACTGCATCACATATAATACTGCAGGGCCCAAGTATACAGAATAAGTGATAGGGCTAGTAGCCCAGTATATATGGATCAGAAATGCCCAAAACCATCAATCCATTGTCTAGTAAGAACGACCTGAGAGGATGAGCCCAATACATCTTGTTTACACCCTAACGCAAGGCAATGGCCCAATATAAGTTTTCAAGGCCAGAATAAATTAAGTTATATGGTTTCTGGACTTTTTCATGCTATGTCCGCGCATGCAAGTTCTCGAACCATAGTAAAAAACGACTGGACCATTTCTATAGGTGTGTGTTCTCTTCTACAGGTCAAAGTATTCTTTACCAGTTTAATAAGTTTATCTGGTTATGTTAGAATAGTGTTATTTTAATTTTTTTAAGAAGAAAATTAAAATGCTATTTAAAAAAAAAAAAGATTCAAATCGAGTTTTGTTCATATCATCAATTAATAAACTGAGTCCATTGAGTGACATAAAATCAACTCTTATCTAATTCAATATGATGAGCTAATTTCCGGGGGTTAACTTCTCAAGCTAAGCTGAGTTTAATAATAGTGGTAATGATTGATTTAAAAACCCAATATCTCATAATTTATTTATTTCAGATTAAATTTGTAATTAAATAAGTTAAAATATTGATGTGATCGAACATATAAATCATCCAGTTACAAGGGTGGATCATAAACGGAGAAAAACTACTGTTCTCCGGAAAAGATTGATCATGATTCATAAAAGATTTGTGATTCAAAGTAGAAAACTTTGAATTAAACATATGTCAAGCGTAGGAAAGTGGAACGATGAAGATGTCTATAATATTCATGTGAAAAAGCCATGCCTTGTGAAGGGCATGCAGTTTCCAAATTAATTGAACTAATAAGTGACCCTGTCGAAGAACTGTACAGCTGATCAGTTGGGTTGAAGGCCAGGAATCAAAACCTTTTGATTTGGAAAGACGGGAAAGGATGCATTATCAAGAAACTTTCCTTTAGAAAAAGGGCGGCAATGCTGGAACGCACCATCAAATGTTTCCTTTGGGGGGCACAAGTGAGTGCGGTTTCAAAGAAAGCAATGGAAACGAAAGCATTAAAGCATCTTTTTCTGTGAATAAAGTTCATCCCTGGTGGGTCAAAAGCTGTACCTCCTTTGCATTCAACTAACACCCAATTCAAAATTTACCATTAACAAATTTTAAAAATTAATTAAAATATATGTAAGTTCGGGATATTCACATTAAAAAATAATAATAAAAAACACCCAATTCAAAAGCTATACTTTCAAGGCATTTGTCCCTTGTCATCAATGGTTAGCAAGGAGAAAACATGCTGAGGTTGCCCTTTCATTCGCAGCCGAGGAGATGGTTCGTAGCAAGTGGGATTTTAATCTTCTTCTTCTTTTTGTCATAGAGGGAAAGATAAAGACAATTGAGCTTTCATGATCAATCTTTATTTCTTTTTATCTGTCATTTTTTTTTAATTCACCTTCATGTCCTCTATTTCAATTTTTTTTTTTTTAAACCCATATATACAGACCTGTCATTATTATGAACCCGCGTAATTAGGCTTTTTAAAATGAATCAAACATGCTAACCTGACTTGCTAGGCTTATCAGCAACTGACATTTTTTTCTCCTATCTTTATTCTCTCTCTTTTTTTTTAATCTTTAATTGATACCTTTTAATAGGTTTTTTTTGTTTGTATTAGTTTTTTTTATTTTATTTAAATTAATACCCTCTTTCTCATTTTTTAAATTCTTTATTTCACTTTTTTTATATAATAATTTTTTTTAATTATTTTGTTTGTATTTGATATTTCAATGATCTATTCTAATTTATCTATAATTTTTTTATATTTTATATAAATAAAATGTATTTTCATTATGTGTATATAAAAATAAAAATCATCTGTTCCTAGTAAAAAAAATAACCTTTCAGATTTAAAAAAAAAGTAAACTAAAAGGAAAAGTTGGAGTTAAATATTTGTATATTTATTTATCCTTTTATTTTAGAATAAGTAGTTTTTTCTTAGTGTATTAGTTGATATATTTTAAAATTTATTTTGTTCAATGTAAAAGGCAACTTTGTATTTTTCAATTAAAAAAATTTACAATGAAATGCACTTGCAATATTGTCACCTTTTACATTTTTGTTCAAAATTAATTTGAAATTCTACACCTTGATGTTGCGTTGATAACTTTTTCAAGTACCTATTAACGTATATAATTCTCGTGTTATTTTATTATATCTATGCGTTAATTTTTTAAATCACTTTTAAATTTTTTTTCTTGATATTAAAAAACACATTATTAATATTTACATATTTTTTTCATTAAAAAAAATATGCTAGAGAAGGCAAAGCACACGTCAATTGACTAGTCAGTTATCAAAGATGTGCCAACTTGTCACTAAATTAAAATTTGAAAAGCTGGGCATAATTCTCATTTCTAGTAATAACCACGTACATTTCTTGCATTTTAACAACACTATGAAATACTATAAAGGTTGTCGCTAAAATATTATAGTTGCACTATCAAAACACTATTTATTTTAATAATTGCATTACCAAAACACTATTCACACACACATATATTTTGTTTTATTTTTCTAATATCTAGTGTAACTAATTCAAGTTAATTTTTATCATCGTAAGACAAAATTCTAGTTAAACTAGTTTTTTTTTCAGGTAAGTATTTTGGTTTTAAGTTCGAGTTTTTCATATGATAGCCACTAAAAACTTATATAATTGTTAATTTTAGAGTCCGTAAAATTAATCATAATACACACAAGTTAGTTTAAACACTCATGTTAATATATATATATATATATATATATATATATAATTTTCAATATATATCATTATTTTCCATTAAATAAATAAATCACCTACAACCCTTTAATGCTTTATATCATGTCATCATAACTCATCCTTACATCATGTCATCATAACTCATCCTTACAGTAATTTTCATATTCCATTTTTAGGAGATTTGTTTATTAGGATTCCATTATCCTACTTCAAAAGCAATTTATTTCTTAAAATTCTATTATCCCGTTTCTAAGACAATTTATTCCTTTTATGGGCTTTTCTTCTTTTACACTATTTATTTTATACCTTAATCAATAGTTTTTTTAATCAATTGAGAAATAATATAATTAAAAAAGGTAAGGGCGAATCCTTACAAGAATTTCCTATAATAAGTGATTTTGAAAGAACAATTCCATTTTTAATAAACCTCTTACCAAAACCAAGTATCAATAAGTCAACAATCATCCATTTTTCTTAGCCAAAGTGTGTTTTAGCATAGACTTTATGCTCTTTAAACCAAAATAGCTTGAAGTACCTACAAAAGATTCTTTGTAAAAGAGATGATGACTCTCTAATATTTAATTAAGTATCTTGTTAAAGAAAAAAAATACAATAATATTTTAGAGAAAGATATTTTAAAAATATATATACAATAAAAAATGAAGATTGTAAACCTTTGTTCTAAAGATCTTATTATATATTTATAATTCATAAGTCTTGTTTTTTTTATGAAAAAGAGGGTTTAAAGCATAATATTACTTTGACAGTATTTATGGAGGCGTAAATATTCCTTACATCCATATTAATATTTGGTGAAAATATGGTAGGTCTTTAAAGAACTTTTATGCACCTGAAATGTGTAGGGAGATTAAGATCTAAGACATAAAATGTAGTTAAGCTAATTAAGATTGAGTTTTTCCCCGAGTTAGACCTAATAGAGGTTAGTCATTCTTTTAGACATGTTAAAGAGAAATGGTCATTCACTTGAGTGTGCCCAAAAGAGTATAATTGTTATTTTGGACTTGGTTAACTGTCAAATTCAAATACTTTAGGTCTGATATGTTTGTCAAACTCATATTGTCTTGGACTTGGTTGTCTACTAAGTTTAAGTGCCTTAAATCTAACTTGTTTGTTAAACCTATGTTGTCTTATAGTTAGTTGACTGTAAAATCCAAGTGTCTCACGTCTGACATATTTGTTAAACCCACATTACCTCATTCTCTTAGATGTGCTAAGAGAGGATGGTCATTTCTTTTATTGCTAAGTTCAAGTACCATATGTCTGGCATGTTTGTCAGGCCCATATTATCTTGGACTTATTGCCTGCTAAATCTAAGTGCTTTACATCTAGCATGTTTGTCAGACCCTTGGACATGTCAAGGAAGGATGGTTGTTACCTTGGACTTGAATAACTGTCAAGTTCAAATATCTTAGGTTTGGAAAACCCATACGGTCATAGACCTGATTGCCTATCAAGTCTAAATGTATTGAGTTTAACATGTTTGTTAAATCTACATTACCTCATTTCTTTTGGTATGCCAATAAGGGATGCTCATTTAAATTTTAAAAACAAATTTTATGACCCTTCTTTTCTGAACACACTTAAAAAACAAATTTGATAATATGTCAAGGTGTAGATCCAGCCATGATAGTATGTCAAGCCTCGAGGATGTTGAACTTGGTAATGTTAACTTAAAACAAACTTCTCCTCACACCAAAAAGCACAGCCTTTTAGATCTTCATCTAACTCTCTGTTTCTTAATGACTAGTTTGGTTTTAGAATTGGTTTGCTGGGAAAATTTTAAGTTGTTGTAATCAACATACTAGACTAAGATAATTTTAGGGTATTAATAATTAGAGAGGATGTGTTTCTATTGGAGATTGGGTGATGGCTAAATTTGACTGGGTAGTTCTAGTCATGGTATGCGTGGAATGTTTATGGTTATTATGGTGGTTTATTTGATAGGAAAAGGTTTTCTATTCTGATGAGCCAAATTGATAGAATGCATTACCAACTCTCTTTATCATGCCACACGTGGCAAACTAATAAGTGTAAACAAAACTATGTAAAATGGTACGTATAATCAAAGATAAAACTGTGTTTAAATGGTCAGAACATTCGAATGCAATTCACTTTCT